TTGTTTGTTTGTTTGTTTGTTGGGGTGTTTGTTTGTTTGTTTGTTTGTTGGGGTGTTTGTTGGGGTGTTTGTTTGTTTGTTTGTTGCATTATTGGGGTGTTTGTTTGTTTGTTTGTTTGTTTTTTTGTTTGTTTTTGGGGGGGTTTTTTTGGTTTGTTGGGGTGTTTGTTTTTTGTTTGTTTTTTTGTTTTTTTACAAAAGTCAATATGGAACAGTGAAAGTTAACCAAATCTAGTAACATATGTCCAAGATGTGTTTACTGTGCTGACAAAGGAAGAGCTAGAGGTGAATGATTCGTGGTCCAATACATATTTCATAAGTCATATTTCTGGTATTGTTTTTATTTTTGTAATTTTGTTTATCTCTGTTAAGATAAGAAATAGAGGTAATGCTTTGCTGGTGTCTCAGAGGCTGTTCTTTCTTTGTTATTTCAGTATCGTCACAACGAATGCACAAAAGCTCACTCAAACGTATCGCAGAAGAAGGAAATACATGTACCCCCTACTAGGTCAAAGGTCAAAAATTGTCGTACCGTGCATGTACAAAAGGTGTGCTTAGTTTGAGCTGTGGATTTTGTTTTTTGTGGAGTTTGAAAGGGAATGAGGTGTTTAGTAGCCGGTGAAGAAGAAAAAAGAATAGAGGAATGGCTATTGAACTACTTATGTACACGTAAGCCGATCACCCATGAAAGGCCTCAATGTACATGTAAAGCAGAAATGTACCCTACACTAACATCACCTGCCCCATCTGACCTAACAGCCGATGTATTAGCTGGTTTTGAGTTACATGCACATGAAGACACCATTTAATGGGAAACCAATACAGGCATGGCGGAAATGCTCAGCCCACGGCTTGTTATGATCCCCTTTTTTGTGTCAAGTTGCGACTGAAATGTACCAGTACAATGTACATGTACATTAGACAGGAGAGTCAAATGTGTTTCCAGGTCAATGCATCCAACAACTGGTCAGGTTAAAAAGAAATCACTTTTTTGTTTATACACATAGGGTCTGTGAAATGACCGTTTCAAACAAAAGGAAGATTCTTGAGCCTTGTAATTTGCATTATATAATGCACGACTTTGCAAGTGCAGTACTGGAGTAAAGGGAGTTTTTTGTGAAAATAGTGTAGGTAATGTACAGTACATGAGGTCTGACAGGATCCCGGGGGGAGGGGGAGTTGGTTGTGCAAACTAAACCCCACGCCAAATTTTATTGAATGTGGGTGAATAGCAGTGTAAATGGGGCCGCCCATTGGTAAATACATTATTCCCATTTCAGAATGACGTACATGTACACACAGGGATTTGTTTGGAAACAAAACCAGCAGGCTGCCGTGCATGTACAACATGTAGTTATCGTGGAAAGCGGGAAAATGAAATTGTGTGCACATGCCGGAGTACCATTTCCATTAATTGTACACATGTGCATGTACATTCAGTTATGAGTCACCAGATTCATTTGTCCACTGGTGTGATTTGACATCTTGCCCTTTCAGAAAAAGATGAGGGTTTGTGTGTTACTAGGCCTGACAAAAAGGTTGCGTTTCTTCTTACATTGAAAATAAAACGAGTTGGCTGACAGGTGTATCATCTTTCTCTTTCTAATTGGTTTTTTTGGGGGGGGGGCTAGAGTTTGGGTGATTATCAATTGATTTTTAACAGTCATTTGTACATGTAATATGTTAGATTGCACACTTTATGCGTGTATTAATTTCTGTTTTATACACCTTTGATGATTGAGTCAAATATTTAGGAAGTAGAAATTGAAAGTCGTTATGATACCACTTAAATCTGAAACTTTTCGAATGACCTTTCCAACCAAGCACAACGAGCCTGTTCGTTTAGAAATAGATCTTGCAAATGAAAGCCTAATATTGCCGAGCCAGGCACAAATTTGCAGTAGTCTGGCAATCCCTATCTATCTTCCTTAAAATCAGCTTGTCCCTAGGGAACTGGTCCAAGATGGTTGACACCTGATTAAACCTCTGCATCTGAGCTACATGTACATATTGTACTGTATGTGAGCCAGAGGCCATATCCAAATTACATGTACATGTGGCTGTGGCTACATGCATTTCTATGTGTAGGGGAAATGCATGTATACATGTATAATGTATGTATGTATACATGGCGGTTTCCAAAGACACATGATATTTCTCGTCGTACCCAGTTACTTTGCAGGCACAGCTAGAACCCATGTACATGTACACATCAATGCACCTGTAGCCAACACATACCCGTACAGGTACATGCTACCCGGTGACCGTGCATTTTTATCTCATACAAATCAGAGGTGTAAAAATTCAGCTTGTTAGCTTTTTTTGTTTCGACGTTGACCCTCAATTTCAGCTTTTATCAATTAAACGGTACCAAAATAACACACCCACGGCATCCATTTGGTACATTATGTGCGAGCTCCAGCAAC